AATATACCCATTTTACATTTAAAGCAACTGAAATCCAGAAACAGAAAAAGTTGCCTAAGGCAACATTGAAACTGACTTCAACTTATCTCAACTTTACTTCTATTATACCTCATGGACTGTCATTCATGGTTTTATGTAGAAAATGAATCTTTATTCTTTAGACTCACACACAGGCTAACATGCTGGAACTGAAACAAAGAAAACAGATTCAGGTGTTATTTTGATCACTACTCAACTCGAGGGCAAAGATTAAGTGAAGAGAGAATTAGCACCAGATTTTTTTTTTTTTTTTTGGCAAACAAATATAATTGAATTCATTTTAGTTAAAAATACATTTCACGTGAAGTGAAGTAACACATGGCACAGCAGACCTCTCTTAACTGCTCCCCTTAGCAATGGATTTCAGTAGATCCACTTGTTCTGCTCACTGTCACTAGTGAATCTTCTCATCCCCATACCTCTGGCCTTAACCCCCACTTTTATATGCATAACTAAATAAAAATAAATCTTAAGAAAAGTGAACATTTGGTGATTAGTAAATTGTACAACTAGTAGCCAGAAAAATATTAATTCAGCATGCAATAAACTGAATTAAACTACTGCATACACAAACATATATATAAAAAAAACTTGGATAAGAATTAAGAATTCAGGCAGTAACTCTAAAAGGAAACAATGATAAACATATTAAATGTCCTCTCTCTTCAACAAACACTGTGCTAAAATTTGTCAGAAATGAGGCAAAATAAAAGAATTTGCCCCCTCCTACTTGCAGAGGCAAATCTACTCAGGAAGACATGGTTACTACTTAAGAACCAAAGATATAGATAACTGGACAAATTCCAGCAAATTTAGTGGAATACAGAGTAAGAAAATAATCAGGATTTAATATAGTCAGTGCAGGGTACTGACAAAAATCTGCTCTGGAAGGAAAGTGAATAAGGAAAAGCAGTCAGGATAACAACTCCAAGAGGAAAAACAACCCAGATCAGCAGAGAAACAGAAATTCAGGAGTCCAAAGAGACCTCTAAAACAAGTCCACTAAAAAAGGCCTGGGATGTCTAACCAGAAGACTTTCAGTGATATACATTTGGTAATAAAGAATCACTGTAAATTCTTAGTAAGTTTTTACAAAATAGTATCTTGATGATTGTATTCAGACACTGTAAAAGTAAGCTAGAATGAGAAATTCACAAGAGAAAATACAGTAATTTGTTACTATAATTGCATAGTTGTATCATGAGAATACAGAAGTGATCTAAAGTCTCTCTTAACATGGTTTTGTACCTAAAAATTTACCAAATTCCAAAAGTATTGTTATTAAATTTGAATCCCAGGTTACAGGAGCAATCAACTCTGAAACACTGCATGAGAAACAATCTTTCAATATCTTTATCAGCCAACTGCTACTTTTTATGAAATTAGTGTTCACATAGGATTAACCTAGAACATACTTTACACATATTAAATCATAATACTCTTTATGTAAAAACCTACTAGTAAGAATGCTGTTTCTGTAGGTAGTTCATGCAAAATTGTGATTCGTTTTTAAAAAAATGCCTAAAATATATTTATATCTGTTATACCTATTTTATTCTACCAATTGACTAAAATTGGTAGAGTAACAATGAAAACCTGGAATTTTAATTTTTTTTTTAAAAAAGATTTATTTATTTATGCATATAAGAACTGGGGTATAGGCCTGCCCTGAGGTGTTGAGGGAGGAGGGTGAGAGGACTCACCAAAGATATAGTGGGGAGCAAAACAGGTAGAACTACTGAAATACACTGCTGAGGGAGCAGGAGGCAAGACAGGTCTGCTGAGCCATGTGGATTAGCTCTTTGACTGGCCAGGGATCAAACTCATGCTGGTGTCTGGTGATAAGCTTGCCAGGGCTGTCTCTTTCACCCCTGCCACCACCAGGGAGGCCCCCAAAACCTGGAGATTTTCAAAAAAATATTTGACTAACAGAAATAAAACAAACAGAAATGTCAAAGAATGAAGTCTCACTGGTTCATTCCATTCAAAACCTGTCATGTGCCAGGAACTGTATTATTAAGTTCCAAGAATATAATGATGGGAAAGACTGGGCCAATCCCAGCATACATGGATTCAAGAGTATAGTAGGAAAGATATGAAAATGCAAATGCTAGTACTATTTGGTAAATGCTATGGAAAGTTTCTGTGTTATGTAAATTCAGGTGTGCTTAGATAGAAAAGGGTTTCAGTAAAAGTGAAAGGACAGACAGACATGAACTGAGAATAAGGAGGGATACTGAGAAGAGTTCATCTAAAGATGAAAAGAGGAAGTGTTAAGAGGTGATGCTGAAGAGCTAAGCAGGCTCAAAATCATGGAGGGTCCTAAATCAAGATGATTTTTAACTTTGTTATGGGCAGATAAAAAATGCCACATAATAGTTTTAAGCATGAATTGTTGGAATTTTTTTGGTAGTGACAAATGAATTAAGAGGAAGACAATGACAGCAGCAGTTAATCTAAAAATAATGGCAGTGAGGATGAATATAGTAGTCATCTTTAAGAGGGAAATTTTTCTACATTGGATATGGAACACATAGATGCTTTTTTCTGGATTGAATATGGAGAACATGAGGATACAGGTAAAAAAGAAAATGATTTTTAAGTTTTTGGTTTGGGAAACTAGTTAGATGAGGCAGAGTGACATGGAGTATTCTCAGAAAAAAACAAGCACAGCATGGTAAATTTTATTATGGCTCAAAATGTTATGTGACATAGTACTTTACCTTAAAATCAACTATGGCTAGATATCCTTCTATAGTGAAATCCTAAAGTCTCCATTAAACAAAACTTGATTTTCTATTTACTGATAGTGAATCCTCAACCAACAATGTCTGCTCATTCTTCATCCTCTTAAAAGGTATAGTTATTACTCAAGGGGAAAAAGAACTGTTCAGACATCAGAATTCTGCCAGTTATTCGATCAGCTGAAACAAAAGCTTCTTTACTTACAAAACCTGAGGGTACCCAATTAAAAGGTACCATTCAACATAGGGCAGTTTCCCCAACCACAGACAACAAATTACAATTAGTGGTCAGTTATATTTAGTCTAATAACTCCCAAGGACATGACTATAAAAACGACAAAAATCGTATTTTAGTATTTATTGGTCACCAACAATAGACAAATTTCCATTAAAAATGGCAAAGACATTAATATTGTGTCTATTCTAAAGAATCGTCTACTTAATCAAAATAAGATTACAAGTAATTCCACAAGATAAACCACAGTATATTCAGGTATTTTGCTCAGTTTTATTTTGGGTCAAAAATATTAAAATTTTAAAGCAGTTAAAGTTGCACCAAAAAGTCATAGAATACCATTAAATTTAAAAACCATTGCAATGTTGACCCAGCAAAGCTGAAAAACTGAAAATGGGGTTTAAAGAAATATAAAATCTGCAAGGAGACAGACATTCTCATGGGTGAGAAAACATTTCCTTTTTTTTTTTTTTAATGCTATCAAATACCAGACAGGTGAGGTGGAGTAATATTTGAAATCACAGTAAACTTCAAAAATACTCATGTAGAGAAACTATCATTATTTGTGGTGATTACTACCTGTTTTTCCATCAATAGAACTTTTATCTATTTTTCATTCATATTACCTTTGTGATTAAAATTTAGAAACAATGAAATAGGAAATGATCAAAGAACTTCAGACATATGAAAATGACATAAGTGATGACTAACCCCAAAAAACCTTCCTAATTACTGTTCTCACTAGCAGCACTTAGAATCACCAATATTTAGGAATGAAAGAAATGTAATTTTTTTCTAACAGATTTAATATTTTAATCCTCTTTTTTACTCAGGTGACATTAGGTCGGAGAGATAAATGAATTTCCCAAAGAAATATACTGGAGAGCCCAATATAAAGCACACTCATCTTCTCACAATCTGAGTGTTCCGTCCACCACTGTTAGGATAATGAATTTTTTCCTGTATTTAAAAAAAAAGAAGGCAATGTTTTCTTACCCATGAGAACATTTGTTTGGCTCTGTCATGGTTAGCATGGGGCCTGACATATAGCAAGCACTAAACTATGGCAGTTCAGTCCCACATTAAAACTTCCTTTAAGCCAATTTGATAACTTAGTGAATTCTTTGATCTTTACAAAGTGTAAATGACTTCTGAATGATTGTAACTGGGAGTTACTTGACCAAAGGTTACTCTGAACTCTGATTTACTCTAGAACTATCATGGTACAATCCCAAACGCTGATAAAATCCTTCACTCCACCCCTGTATTAATTCAGCCTAGGACAGTAATCCCCACAGCTGTTAAATAACAAAAGGATTTAATAGTTCAACAATGCCAACACAAAGCAGTTTCCCACATTCTCAGATGGTTTGGCCTTACATCAGAGAATCTATATCTGTATGTCAGGCTTGTTCACGTAAATTTCCATGTGAAATTTAAAAATAAAAGATGCTTCTACCCCAAATGTTTATTTATGCCTAAGGACGAAAAAACGGATGCCTTTAAACACCATTTTATTCATTACCAACTAACAGCCACAGCATTTACCTACCTCCACCCTAAGAAACTCTTGGTAAAGGGGAGTGACTCACTACTGAAAGGTTATTACCGATTAAACTCTAAACCTTAAAAATCACCAAAGCAATGTATATCGTATCGTACCAATCGTTACAGATTTGCCTTCCTTCACAAGGGCATTTGCAGATATCCCCAATATCCACAAGGCAAGAGAGATAAATGCTGTGTCACTAAGAAATGCAAATTTGTCTCAAACCAAAAGGAAGCTGTCAAAGGCACGTCTCTAACTTGTGACCTCGGGCTACTCCGTTCCCTATAAAGAAGCCAGAAACGAGTTTCCCTTAGACCCACGTGCTGCCGCCTGCCAGTTTCTGTCTGATGGAGAGCCCCTTGACCGTCACAACCCGGCAAGGAAAGACTGAACCCGCCAGGTTCCGCCTCCAGGGCTCGGGGCTGCTTCTCACCATTTCCAGGTGAGCACCGGGGCCTTCAGGGTGTCCGCTGCCCGGTGCTGGACTGGCCCTGCCCTCCGGGGTCTTCCGCTCACTGTTGCGCTTCAGGCCACTGGCGTCGCCACGACCCCCGGCCTCCCGGCGCCGCCGCTGCCGGCTCCATAAATACATGGCACCCGCACCTAGCAGCAGGGGTGCTCCGACCGCCAGGGCCAGCTGCCATCGCGGCAGGCCCCCAGTGCCCGGGCCCGCCGTCGCGCCGCCACCGCCGCCGCCCACCCCACTACCCGAGCCGGGCGCAGCCGCCGCGACCACCGCCGCCTCCATAGGCTTAGAGGCGGCCATGACGAGTGTCTTCCGCCACCGCCTTTCTGCCGGTCGCGGGCGCCACAGTCACCAGACAGCGTGCGAAGGGACACAGGAGGGAGGGAGCGAGGGGAAGCGGTGTGAGAGCGAGCACGCTAAGCAGCCAGAGCGGACGACAGGAAAGGGCCAGAGGTCACCGGAAGCCCAGGGCATGCCGGGCCAGACCTGCCGTCCGACGCAGCTTCTTCAACCGAAAGGGGGGTGGGGGAAGAAGAGAAGAATCACTTCCGGGTCAGGGAAACTGGGCGGGAGGTTGGGCGTCTGGGCAGCCCCTCTCCTTTCGTTCCGCTTGTCTGTAAGACTGACTTCTGGGGTCTTGGGCCTCTGGTGGTAGCCGGTGTCTTGTTCCCCGCAGAAAGAAGGGACAGAGGGCTCTTGTCTAGCGAAATGGCACAGCCAGTATAGACGGATTTACGCTGTGCGGATCGTCACGGAGATGATGACTCGCGGGGCCCAGAGGTGGGAGGGAGTGGTGCAAGAGATGTGAAGTTCATTGGCTGGCAGGGGCGGGAGGCGGAGCGTAGGTCAGCGGCCCAGTTTATTGGTAGAGTTTGGGCCCCCTGCTAGTTACCGCCACGTTGTTTCTTACAATTCCGCGGCAGTTAGCCTTAGTTCGCTCGCGGGTCTTGGAAACCAACGGATTAGAAGGATTTATAAAGAGGTATGAGGAAAAGCCCAAAGCTAAAGATAGCCTCCTGTATCACCGATCTTCTACCATGGCTAGATTTTACTTGGGCTGTTTGAGGCCACTGGAGGCGACGGCAGATGGCAAAAACCAAATTGAGTGGAAACTGGCAAGTCTGGGTTGCCTCTGGTGGAAAAGACATGAACACTGGAGTTTCTGAAGCTCGCTGTTTGCGCCATATAAAAGCAATGAAGTTTGTGTTACGAGGTTCTCGAACTGAGTTGCTACAAACATGAACCCTAAGAGTTCCAAATCGTTTACAGCTTTTTATAGGTATTTGTGACTCACTAGATTCCACCTTGACACCCCAGCACTTATCGGGCTCCCTGGAGTACTCCTGTCCTCCGCGGTCTGATAGACCCACTGCCACACGGTTTTTGTACTGTCTTTGCCTCAAGAAGATAAGTGTTAATAGGGAGTCACAACTCCCTGTCACCCATTTTAGGTACACTAGTCTGCACAGCCTGTATTAAACATTTACAAATTGGTCATTTTGGTTTTGGGTATACCAGGATTTTCAACATCACTGTAGGGCAACACAAAGATTGAAAGGAGATGGCTCATTAAGTGATACCAAAATAGACTAAATTAGAATGGCCTAATTTGAAATTTTCAGGATCGTTGCTTTTCTATTGCTTCATGGAGGTTTCTATTAATAGATTGCTTTGGGGTAATAGGTTCCCTTAGCAACAGACTAAAAAGATAAGCTAAAAATAATAGCAGTAGAATTGAGTAGATCAAACAGTGATTGTTGCAGCCTGTTGGCTACATTCCTGAATTCTAGCCTCCAAAAGCAAGTCTTCTGCCCTTTCACATAATATTTCTCCTGCCTTTTTGAACAGAGTTAGATGCGTTCTTTCCTGAGATACTCAATTTTCTGCATTCCCTCAGAGGATTGTAGAGTGCTAGTAGTTAGACTACTGTAGGAACTAAAACATTTAATAATAGACAAAAATTTTGTTATTGGTAGTAGACTGTTAATGATTACAACTTAAAAGTTACAGAGGATTTTTATGAAAAGTCTCCCTCCAAATCTTGTTGCCAGACGTCTAGATTCCCTCTCCAAAGGCAATCAATGCTAGAGATTTTGAAACATTTTATTTAATAATTGGTTTTATTTGATTTTTATATTTAAGATAGACATCAGTAAATGAGTTTGTTCTTGTTATTTTTATCCTTTGCTACACATTTCATTTCCATTCTTAAGCTTACTCTTTCCCCTTTTTTCTGCTCCATTTTCTGGTTAAAGTTAGAACTGAGTAAGAACATCATTAGTTCTGCAACCTTTCTGAGGTGATACATACATGCCTTTATTGCTAGACAGAAATTGCTGAAGTCACTAACTTCCTTGTTTGTTTCTGGCCTTCATATGCTTTACTGAAACATATGAAAACATTGGTCATTCCCTTCTTGAATGACCTTGGATTTCAGGAGAATAAATTATGCTGGTTCTTTTACTCTCTGACCACTTTCCAGATAAATGCTGTCCAGAAACTCTATAATATTGGAAATTAATTATATCCATTATGTCCAATATGTAGCCACTAGCCACATGTGACTATTAAGCACTTGAAATACAGCTAGTGTGACTAAATTTTTTATTTAAATTGGTTAAAATAACTTTACATAGCTAATGGATACCTTGTTAGGCAACATAGCTCTAGAACTTTAAGTATGAGTACAGAGTGATAGATAGGGGAGAGGTACAAGGGGCTGGGAAGCTATTGAATAATCTAGCACTTAGGAAAGATGAAAAAAAATGGGGGAAAGAGAAAAAAGGAAGAGAAGAAATTATTTAATGAGTATCTGTTAAATTAGACATACTTGTGTTTTCACATATTTGAACTGGGAAATGGCAGATGGCATAAAAAGAAAAACATGAAAACAATGCATAACAACTGACTTTTGCTTACAAGTGTGTGTGTATTGATATTCATCTAATCAAAGTTCAAGCCCATTTGGTTTTTGTTAAGAACTCTATTTCTGATTTACCATTTTTAATCTCACATAAATTCTATTTTATGCTCATATAGGGAAAAGAAAATGAGCTCTTTAGTGTCTCTTTTTATAAGGACACTAATTCCTGGCCCAGGGCCACATCCTAATGATGTCGTCTAATGCTAATTATCTCCCAAAGACCTCATCTTCAAATAACATCACATTGGGAGCTAGACCTTCAGTATAAGAATTTTTGGAGGATCATGTTTATTGCTGCTTCATTTACAATCAGGTAGACTTGGAAACAACCCAAATGCCCAAAAATAGATCACTGGATTAAAAAGATGTGGTACATATACACAATGGAATATTACTCAGCAATCAAAAAATACACGTCTTTTGCAGCAACATAGATGGAGCTGGAAAAGATCATGCTTAGTGAAATAAGCCAGAAAGAAAAAGAAAAATACCAGATGGTTTCACTCATATCAGGAGTATAAAGGACCAGGGGAGAAAATAATAATAATGAACAACTATATACCAGAGATATTTTATGGGGGTGAAATGGGGAATGGGATCAAAACTGGTGGGGGGAGTTAGTACACTGGACTATGGTGATGGCACATGGGTAATTTGGTGATGGGAACCCAAGGGGATTACAACTGAGATGGAAAAAGGCACACAATTATTTAAAAATAAACATAAAAAAAAATTTTGGGGGGAAGGTGAGGTTAAGAACATTCAGTCCATAGCAGTATATAGGAGTAATCAATAAATAATTGTTTTAAGTAAATGAACATTGTACTAAAAGTGTCAAAGGAAAAAAATGGCATTCAGGTCATATAGGTAGAATTTCTGTTTTCTTAAAACATTATTGGAATGCCTACAATGTGCAGGCTTTTCTCTAAACTGTCCAAATTCTTTTTCTGTGACTGTCTTAAAGCATATCACCCTTCTATCTTATTGTACAGAATTATTCTTTTCCTGCCTCTACTGATGTGTCAGCACCCTAGATCAGAAGCTGTGTCTAATTTATCTTGTATCTTATACAGTGCCTATCACAGTGCTCCTGTAATCTCTATGTCAAGGTAAATAAATATGTTTTCTTTCATTTGCATTGGACCATACAGTAGTTTTTAGTTCTTCCCTACAGTTACCACATAATTCTTGTTCTTACTGTGCTATCCATACTCAATTCGAGTCTTTGAAGAAGTGGGGACTACACTGTAACCATCTTCGTACTCCCATATCCATCATAAGGCTGGACAATAATGGATGCTTGTTATCTCATTTACTTACTCAATATGATGCCTGGCACATGGTCAGTACTGATTAATGAAGTGTTTGTTGAACAAGTTCTTGACTGGGGCTGTTCTTATCTCTATTACTATTGCCTACATTAATGATCTGGTGTCACCATTGCTGTCCAAAGCCACGGGTAGCCACTGAGATAACAACTCAACTGCTGTTAATGCTGCCAACACCAGAAAGACTCTGCTTCTCTCATTAACATTATCATGCCTAATTACACTATTGTGGCTACTTCCGCTGGAACCTGTTTAGTTGTCTATACCACTTATAGAACATCAAAGTCCCTATTTCCTCAGAATCCTCTTGCTATTAATTTTTCTCCACTCTTTCTTCTGATGTTTTCTGCCTTCTTCAACTTTCATCAAAGCATCAATTGAGTGGATGGAACTACTTTGTTTCTCAGGGGAAATGGTACTTTATGATTCAATCAAGTGATTGCTCCTTTTCTGTCAGAAGGAGCCTCTGCATTTATCTTCAGAAACTACCTACAGTAACCCTAGTTCTTTCTCCTTAGCTGTGACTGATAGCTCATACATATACTTAATGCACTCATTTCCCACATTTCTGCCCACTTATACAGATTTACAAGATCTTTCCACCCTCACTAACTTAGTTCATTGCCACCCACAATGATTTGTGTCATTTGCAAATATAGAAATGTTACCTTGCATTTTAAGTTATGAAAATCTTATTGTTCCCTACATAAGAAATTCAAAGTGGGTCCATCCTGTAATTTCCTCATCAAGGTATGGGACCAGGCTGTGTATGCCTATAGAAAGTTTTTCCTTTTTATGATTTGTATAAGATGCAGGTTCCATTTCTACATGATGAGCCGGCAGTGGGATATCCACCATTTTCTAATTCACTCATATCGGACTAGTAGCCCTGGTTATGCAGACCTGATCTTCTGAGTTCTTCAAGACTGTACTCGCCTTACATTTCATTATTTTCCCTAACCAGTGTAAAAATAGCCTAACTCCACAATGAGGAGCTGACTCAATTATAACATATAAAACAAACAACAAGAAAAGCTTCTGTACCTAAGTTCTAGATTATCACTGCTTAACAAATACTAAAGGGTTTAGGCTTAAAACAACTATGCCATCTCAAAATTTTTGATATTCAGGAATTTGGACAACAAATTATCTCTGCTGATGTCAAAAGAGGTGACTCTTCAGATCAAAGGGCTGGTCTGGATGTTTCAATAGGGCCTCACTCACTGGCACCTTCGTGAATATAGCTTGACAATTAGACTCATTTGAAACTATAAAGTGGAACACTTCTTGTAGCCTTTCTGCTTCACATTTAGGGTAGCTTAGCTTCTTATGTGGCAGCTCAGGATTCCTAGAGCAAATGTCCTTAGAGACCCAGGTAGTATCTGCAGAGCTTTCTGTAACATCATTTATCCTGCATTTTATGGATCAAGCATGTTAGTAAACCCAGCACAGATTCATGGGAATGTGAATTAGACTCCAACTCTTT